CTCTCTCTCTCTCTCTCTCTCTCTCTCTCTCTCTCTCTCTCTCTCTCTCTCTCTCTCTCTCTCTCTCTCTCTCTCTCTCTCTCTCTCTCTCTCTCTCTCTCTCTCTCTCTCTCTCTCTCCTCCTCCTCCTCCTCCTCCTCCTCCTCTAGCTTAAGAAAGAGCTGCCCAAGGCTCCATTGTCCCCTTATATTCATTTCTGTATGGAAATGAGACCAAAGTATCACAAAATCTACAGTCACTTGCAATCAGTCGAGATCACAAGGAAACTTGGAGCAAAATGGTCGTCTATGACACCAAAAGAGAAGGTAGGAATGAACTTTGTATTAATCTTTTACTGGAGTTTTAACTTCTGAAGGTGATATGTGTACATGTATATTAAATGTATTTTTTAGATTTTGGCCAATTTTTAAAAATAGCCATAACTTGAAAAATTTAAGTTGGAATCAGCTCAAACTTTCTACACAGCATAAGTACATCAATATGTATCAGAAAATGTAATAAAAATTGGGGGTGATTTTTTAGCCATTTTTTGGAAAAAAAACCATGGGCTATAGTACAGGGATTTTTTCAGATTTTGGCCGATTTTTAAAAATAGCCATAACTCGAAAAGTTTAAGTCGGAATCAGCTCAAACTTTCTACATAGCATAAGGACATCAATATGTATCAGAAAATGTAATAAAAAATGGGGGTAATTTTGGAGACATTTTTTTGGAAAAAACCATGGGCTATAGTACAGGGATTTTTAAAAATGTTATTCAAAATAGGAGAAATACGTTGCTATGAAGGAGAAGGAGAGAGAGTCATATGACGAAAAAATGAAAGAATTCTATGCCATCAATCCAAAAATTGAATCGCTAGTAAAGTAATAATAATAATAATAATAATAATAATAATAATAATAATAATAATGATAACAATAATAATGATAATATAATTTTATTTTTCTATTCATAGGCCCAAAAAGTGAGTGAGCCCCTTTCATTTGCATACTCTAATTAGTTTAATTGCTAGATCTACTAAGAAAAAGAAGTCAAAAGCGAAGTCAGAGGAAATAGTAGAGGAGGAGGAGGAAAAGAAAGAAAAGAAGAGAGAGGAGGTAGAGGAAGATAAGGATGACCATGAAACTAGTGATGATGATGGCAAAGGTATGAAGTATGATTATAATTATGTCACTGCATTACGATAGTGCATGTTTCATGTAGTCAATTTATATATGTAGATCACAATAATTGATGTTATTGTGTAACTTTACATTTTATTTATAATTGTAAAGACTTGGGTAAAAAGACTAAATAAAAACAGGAAGTGAATGATGTCATTATCATCTTGTGGTTAGGACCCACAATGGCCTCACCAGTTTTAACAGCATTTAAAGACAATGATGAAATTTTTTGGCAAATACCTTCTTCTCTTCAGACAGACAAACAATTTTTGGAGGAGCTTTCACGGCTCCCTATAATATTATACCATATAAGATGATTTATTGGCAAGGAAATAATATTGGTGATCGGCGGTTCTATGAAGAAGTTGCCAATATAAAATCTGCGCATGCTCAAAGGTATGTGGCACAAAATTTCCAGTATAAAATCCACCAAATGCACCAATTAACTTCCACAGGCAAATTCGCCAAAACTTACTCTCGCCAATAAATCATCTTGTAGGGTATTATTATTATTATTATTATTATTATTATTATTATTATTAGAATCTGAAGAAGAAGACAATAATGATGAATCTGAAGATGATAGTACTGATTCCTCTTCATCTGGCAGCAGTAGCAGTGAATAAGAACACCATTCACCTTTCACACACAGAATGCTTGTATTATGATACTCAAATTAATGTAAAATTTAATATTATAAATTTTATTTCAAATTGTTGTTGTAATAATTATTATATATTTATCATCATTATATTGTCAAAATTTATTACAGTGACGATTAGACTAAAGGCGAATTTACAATATTACGCTAGTCCTGACGTTACGTTGACGCTGGAATAGAATCTGGTTCTATTCCATCGGAAAGCATGCGTCAAAAGGTCAAATCGCCCACGTTTTTGATTAAAAATTGACGGTACGCTGGCCTAATGTCATATTGTAAATCCGCCTTGAGCCATTATGTTGCATCAATGCTGCATGATATACCTTAAGCCTACTATTATTAGCGTCTACTAAATTTAGCTATATTAGCGAGAGAGCTTTAAACCGCTAAATTAAATAGACGCCAAAATAATAATTATTCATTACAATGGTTATTATTGATAGTTAATTTGGTTAAAAACGCTAAAATTAGTAACGCTAAACATGACTTTTGCTGATTTCGCTAAAATTAGTAGACACAAATAATAGTAGGCTTAAGGTATATGTAGTATTATAGTTATTAATGATTTTAATATTATAATTGTTAATAATAATAATAATAATAATAATTTCATAGCTGATTAAAATGAGAAGTGCCTGTAATAAACTGCAATCATACCATAATAAGAATAATTTTAAAAATAACTATATAATAATAATAATAATTTTATAACGAAAATTCACTGGATCCATACACAAACTCCGAAGCCACGCCCACACTCTCCTGCAAATTAATGACGGCATGGCCCCACATGTCTGGAAGTACCATCAGATCCCCAGGATACTGGACGCATTCCCATGCTCTCTTTCCGTTTTCATTCTGGTACCTATCTCTCCACCAGTCCCAAACGTGTTCCTTGGAGTAGAAAGCATCCTTCGGAGGAAAAATGAACCATCTTTTCTTCCCATAGACCAAAAAATTCCATGCGGTCCTGTGAAAATGGGGCGGAGCCCCAGAGAGAGTTCCGCCCACGTAGAATTGGATTTTATCAGTCGTTATTTCGGTTTGCGATGGGTCTAGAACAGACGGAATTTTAAAATGTTCCAAAATCGGAGAGGTTTCCGGGAGGGTCTGAAACACGTACGAAGGCGGCAAAAGATCCATCACGTCGCGAGCCTGAGCCTGCTCTTCACTATTAGCGGCCATCTTAACCAAGAAAGATCTCAGTGTCGTTCGTAACGTCTCGTTATAACCGAAAGCCTCAGCGTACGGGACTAGTACCTCATTAACTACAGTGTCTCCATACTCTCTCTCCATCTTGTTTCTCTGCCACATGTGGAAGAGTCTACTCATAACGTGACTGTTTGAAGCATTACGTATCAATACAGGAAGGGATATACTCATATAGTCAGCAATCAGTTCCTCTGTCCTTGCATTATAACCAATCACATCAATATCACATCCTTCAGTCGTGAGTCTCTTAGGTAGCTTTATACTGCTCTTTAACCACCCACCCGGCTTAAACCCGCTTTTTAACGGAGGGAGGTATTGCGGTTTTACCGGGCAGCCGTAAGGTTTCGAGATTTGGAGGGCAGAAGCGAATTCATCGGCATACCAACGATGTAGACAAGCCAGGTCCATGGCAGTTCTATTCATAGCATCTTTTGTGTTTGCTTTTAAACCAGCTTGTAGTAATGGTAGTACGACATTTTTGCTTCCTTTGATTGCTGCTATATGCAAGCCAGTGAGGCCTATGGCTGTTCTTGCATGAGGATCAGCCCTAGCTTTTAGTATTTGGTGAAATACGGTTGGATTGTCTAATGGTATAACCTGTATAGAGTAAAGAAAAGTCCATTAAATATTGATGATGCATATACACATGTATATTTCCATTGTGGATGTATTAGAAATTTCAATGTATGTACGTATTATGTACAACAAAATATTGGCAGCAAATTTAAAGAAATAATAATAATAATAATAATAATAATAACGGTAATACAATATTAATATAGGTTGGCACATACATGTATTTAGTAATTAAAGGTAATGAAGGTTGTATCAACATTTGGTGGTATTGGATGACACATAAACATTCCTTTACATTAAATGGTAACAAAACAGTACAATCACATACTAACATACAATGTACATATACATTGTAAGTAACCAAAGAAAATAATTTCGGTACAGTTACTCTTACTCTTATTAATTTTATTTTATTTTTTTACTTGTAATAATGGCGTCCATCCAAACATATTCTCAGCATGTACAGCTGCTCCTCTCTCCATTAGTTTCACCACGAGCTCTTGTGATATAAAACACTGAGCAATGGCGTCCCTAATGAGTACCAGAGACACGTTAGAACTAAAATCCAAGTCCTTCCCTTTAGCGTCGCAATGATACACTAGCTCGTCCCAAGCTGCTTGTCCGGCGATTAAAATATTCCTTGTGATTCCAACAATATTTGCGTCTATGCCACCAGTTAGGAGTCTTAGGGCATGGGCCGTAATCACTTCCCTGGCTCTGTCGATGGATCCATAGCCGACTGACACATAGTTCTGCTCCGTGAGGTATTGAAGGTACCCAATGCCGTTTGCAAGGTCTCCGATACTGAAGGCGTAAAAGGCATAACGTCCTATTAGTTGATGAGAGGACTCTAAACCTCGTAGACCAATGAGAACACGGTAGAGATAAGAGGATTTTACAAACGAGTGGTGTCTCAGGTAAGTGTTTAAAAGACTTTCTAAAAACTCTTCGGCGTTCTCGATTTCCTTCAAAAACTCCCATTCGTCCTCACGCTGATTTGAAATGGTCGCTAATAACGCCTCCCAGTTCGGGACACTTAGGACAATCTCTAGATAACTCTCCCAGCATTTGATGGCCTTGTCATTTAAATTAAGTCTTGACATGACCATACCTCCTTCGTATAAATATCGTGTGTTCATAGGGTCAAGAGTTAATGCTTGATCAATGAAGTTAAGAGCTTCGGACGTTCGATCAGCTTCTAGGAGGGCTGCGGCAAGATTCCACCTTGCTCCTGCATTAGACTCTTCTTTTAAGATGCACGTCGCCAGCATATCTAGCGCTAGCTCCAGATCCCTTTCTTTTGAGGACTGTAGTAATTTCTGAGCGCCCTCTGTCAACTCTTCACATGTTGAAGTCCCGTGTGTCAGTGTAGACTCGTCTATGGTCTGAGTTCTTTCCCTGGTGGCCGTATCAGAGTATGGGGAAGGTGAGGGGCTCGAAGAAGCTTTCTCTTCTCTCGAGCGCTTCTGTGCTCCTCTCTCGGAGTCAGCAAACTTTGGTCCAGTGTAATCTACTAAAATAACGGAGCGATAGAACACAGCCCCAATACAGACTATTGCTCCGATTAGTAGTAGCCATTTTAATGGTACAGGGCCTCTTTGACTGCTCTCTGTTGCTGGAGTGGCCTGCTTCTTTCTCCTCGGCCTGTTAGAGTTAGAGTTTTTCATGCTCGCCTTCTCCTCCAAAAATTCTTGGGCGTGGCTGATGCTTGACCACGCCCAAAACTTTTTGCTTCATTGTTCTCTTCAATCATCACAAAATGGAACAAGTCTTTTTCCTTTCTCTCTTTTGCCTAATCTGTGGAGCTCTTGCTTCCTCTGGGACTGAGACTTTCTACTCTCTTTCTGCTAAGGACATTACTGGGAAAATGATTGGCTTTGAGAGATACAGTGGAAAAGTAAAGACACTAAAGCCATAATGATGCATGTGGATTTGCTATTTCATTGCATTGCATGTATTGTAGGTTATATAATAGCATCTTGTATGTCAGCTTGCAAGCAGTGGGCTGTATAACACCCACACTGTCTATTCTAATCAGCTAAAATAAGCAATTCCTTAAAAGTTCATTTTATTAGTTGAATCTTTGTTTACACTCTACAATAGAGTCATGAGCAAACTGCACACATGACATTGTCATTGCAGAATTTCATTATTATTATGATAAGACCACTACTACTTTTAACTGCAAGTTATAATAACAATGTAGTACATTCAAGCGATGCTTAGGCTGGTAGCATCAAAAAATGCTTAAATCAGTAGATGCACTTTTAATAAGAAGACTAAAATTATGTTGATTACTAAGATTGATATTGAACACATGCATGTACATACATGTATATACAATAGCATATTATTATAATTATTATTATTATTATTTCTTTGATGTATTTTTTATTTCTTTGATGTATTATTATTATTTCTTTTTTCAGATTGTTCTTGTTGTTAATGTTGCCAGCGAGTGCGGCTATACAGACTACAATTATATCCAACTCAACCAGCTCCAATTAAGATACGGAGAAGAGTCCTTGGCTATTTTAGCTTTTCCTTGCAATCAGTTCGGAGCTCAAGAACCAGCGAAAGACTCCGAAATCAATTCAATGATACGCTACAAGTACAAGCCTCAGTTTCCTCTGTTTTCGAAAGTTAACGTCACTGGAGAGAGTCAATCTGAAGTTTACCGGTTTCTAATTAATTCCACAAATGGTTTGGAGCCGAAATGGAATTTTTGCAAGTATCTGCTCGATCGCGACGGACTTGTAGTCCAGTTCTTTGATCAAGGGAAGACATTTGATAAGATTTACGACTCGATTGACGGACTTTTGTATCGAAAAAGACGGGAACTTTGAGGGCGAGGAAGAAGAAGGTTTGAAACTGATCATAATACTCTTATTAGTATAATAATAATAATAGTAACGATGATTTTTGTGATATTATGTGTTTTGTGATTTGTTATTATGATTCAAAGATCCAATTTTGATTCAAATTAGCTCCATAGCATGATATGTAGATGCATGTAGAAATCTCTTAGCCATTTTTTGATGAACTTTCTAGCCAAAAAAGCATCATATGTTCTTCCATTGTGTATACATGTATTCAATAAATGTATAGCTTAATGCCCACACTCGTAGGAGGAAGTCATGTATACATGTGATTTGTGATAGGCCATGACTGCTGCTCGCTGCTTTTTTAAATCACCATTATAAATTAAATCAAAAATGTATTTAAACAAGCAAAATAAATTGATGTCCAATAAGTAAAAGTAAAAGAGAGAGAAAGGAAATTTTAATATCTATGTCTTTAGCTTCACATTTATCTTTCTATGGGGCTAAGACCTACATCAAATATAATATTGCATTCTTATAATTGGTATAATTATACTGGTAGCATGTAATCTTGTTATAGCCTTGTAGTCTCTTAGCATCAACAAACTTGAGTATAATAGTTGTAATAATGTTAGTCACTGTGACACAATCTCTAAAAGATAATTATTATTATAAAATGAATAATAAAAGGAGTACCTTGAGCTCATTTCAGCTCTCTTGTTTTCTTATAGCGCTTTTAGCATCACTAGCAGTACCTATACAATGCATATACTAGTGATCCCAGGCAGCACCACGGGGAGGTAGCACTATACTGCTGCCCACCCTAGGAAGAAAGGAGTAATTTATGAGGTAATAGAATCTATTGCTGGTTACCTTAATCCATCAAGAAAGAGTCCAGAAAGATTTGACGTTTAGATGCTGAAAACAAAACATATGCTTTGTCAAAATACATTAGCCTATGTACTTATAGTATAATATAATGATATATATATATATATATATGGGTACATATAATAATGAAATATATATGTATGGATGTAAGGGCCACCTTATGAGTGGACTCATTATATAAGGGGAACATAAATTGGGTCACCTGTAAGGGGAACATGTGAATTGGGTCACCTATATGAGGAACATGTATGAATTGGGTCCCCTATATGAGTTGGGTCCCCTATACGAGGAACATGTATGAATTGGGTCCCCTATATGAGGAACATGTATGATCTGGGTCCCCTATATGAGGAACACGTATGAATTGGGTCACCTGTAAGAGGAACATGTGAATTGGGTCCCCTATATGAGAAACATGTATGATTTGGGTCACCTATATTAAGATTGTGTATGAGATTAAACAAAATTAAAATTTCGCTGATTTCGTGTCAATTTTAAGCGTTATTTGCATCAAAATGTCAGATCACGCACAAGCTAATTCAACGTTACATTGATTATAACCTACAATGAGAGTTATTGACTTATTTTAAAAGCTGTGGCAAACACTTAAGGCTATGTTTAGGACCGTTAAAATGTAACAAAATATGCATATTCTTCTTGTATGTAGTGCTCTTAGCATCACTAGCAGTAGTAGCCACTAGTGATCCCAGGCAGCGCCACGTGGAGGCGGCACTACTTTGCTGCCCAAAAATTATAAAAACCTGGGGCCCCAGGTAAAAAAAAAACTAATAATAAATGATAATAAATAATAAAAAATTTAATTATAAAAAATAATAATAATGATAATAAGTAATAAAAAATAATAAAATTTAATTATAAAAAATAATAATAAATGATAATAAGTAATAAAAAAAATAATAAAATTTAATTATAAAAAATAATAAAACCTAGATCTATAACCTACAGCTACACTATATAACCTGTATCCTACAACTACCTGTTTCTTAATTTCTATTATAACTACTTTCTAATACAATACATATACTATAACCTAATGATAACTATATACCTGCTTCCTAATATCTACTACTATACCTACACTATACCTATAACTACCTTCTAATTTCTACACTATAGCCTATATCCTAGGTATAACTACATGTTATCTATAATTTCTACTGCTATACCTACACTATTATAACCTGTATACCTAACACTACATGTTTCCTATAATTTCTACTACTATACCTACACTATATAACCTGTACCCTTCTAATTTCTACTACTATACCTATGACCTTTAAATTACACAATGATACCTACATGTAAACCATCATAACCTTGCTATAAAAGTACATTCTTATCTTATAATACCATACCATTATATTTATAGCTACATTAACTTATTAACCTATGAACCTTAATATGACACAATGATACCTATACCATATTAACCTTAATTGCTATATACAAATACATTCCTATCTTAATGCCATACCATATTACCTTTACCTACAACTTATATTGTATACACAATGTAAGACAAGTTATCTTAATAGTGTACCATTATCTAATGACCTATTACTAGATACCTCCTACCATTACTGTCTATATATTGTAACCTCTACAACCTTAACATATTAAGAGTAATATTAATACACAATTTACCACACAATATGTATATTAATCAAGAATAATTATTAAATTGAAAATTAAT